GTTGACCCGGGTCGGATCGGTCAATCCGGGTCGGTCGGAACCGACCTGGGTCAACGGATCCGACCCGGGCGTTGACCCGGGCGGATCGGTCAATCCGGGTCGGTCGGAACCGACCCGAGTCAACGGATCCGACCCGGGCGTTGACCCGGGTCGGAACTGTGAATCCGGGTCGGTCGGAACCGACCCGAGTCAACGGATCCGACCCGGCGTTGACCGGGTCGGATTGTGATTCGGGTCGAATCCGACCCGAACAAACACCGTGGGGAGGGGGCGCCGGCGAGGCCAAAATTGGCCGTCCGCCGCCGACACCCAGGCGCCGCCCCAAGTCCCCCGACTAGGACCGCCTTTGGGCTGTGCCACTCACCTGAGCCGCCGTCGGACCACCGTTCGCCGGCCGGCGATGAAACAAAAACCGGCGTGGTTGAGACATTTCGTCGAACGCCTGGCGGGCGCGTGGAAAAACGGGGGATTCCGACCTCCTCCGGCGATCCGGTCGACTCCAGCGGCTTGGGTTCACCTCCGACGGCGACTAGGAGTCGGGACCGACGACGGTATGGGCCGGGATTCGCGCGAAACGGCCGGCGCGGGTCCCGGCCAAACCGAGCCAAAAATCAGGGGAAAACAGGGGAGCTTCGCGGCCGAAGGGGGCTCACCGGTCGACGGCGCGTCTGGGCGGCTTCCGGCAGGTCTGGCGGCGTCGACGACCGCTGCTGGTTCTTCTTTAGCTCCGGCGGACCTCGGTTTACTCTCTCTCCCTCTCTATTCTCTCTCTCCTCTCTCGTTTTCTCTCTCAAAATTGGCCGACCCACTCTGTTTCTGTGTCGCCGTCGTCGTCTCGGCGGCGGGGATGGGTGGATGAGGCGCGGTGGCTGCCGGAGGCTCCCTGTCTCTCCCGGCTCACGCTCTCACGCTCTCTCTGTATTTTTTCCAAAAAATGGCCGACCGGCCTCTCTCTCTCTCTCTGGCTATTATAGCCGGCGACGACGAACCTGTGCCTCCCCGCGTCGGCGTGACGATGGCCTGCACCGGCCTACCTGTCCCGCGACTTTCGCGGCCATAGCAGGCCGGTGCAGAGCAGAGCAGAGCAGAGGGGGGGCCGAGAGGAACAGGGAGGCGAGAGGGAGGAGGGGATAAGGGAGAAGGGAAATGGGGAGGACGGGACTGGCCATTAATGCCAGTCCCGTCGGCGTGCTCATCCGGCCCTCCTCTGGCCAGACAGCGACGGTGAGAAGCGACGCCGCCGTGCGTCACGCTGCCGTCGGTGAGCAGAGACGAACAGGACAGCGAGAGCGACGGGGGAGAAGGAAGAGGGCAGCTGGGCCGGGCCGGGCCAGGCCCAGTCCGCGCGGAGGAAAAAAAAAAGGAAACGGGCTGGGCCCGCGCAGGAGGAAAAAGAAAAAGGAAGAAAAGGGCCGGGTCGGCCCAGCCCCGACCCGGCCCGAATCGATTTCGATTTTTTTTTTTTTAAATTTAAGAAAATATGCTCTAATAGGCCCTATTAATGCACATATGCCTAATGTCTATATGCAGTGCATTTAAATAGAAATATTTTTTTGTTTTAGGAATTAAAGAAAATTAATTCCTAAATTTTGTGTAATTAATTTTTGGGGATATTAAAAATAGGTGTCAACAAAAATCACTTCGAAGCTCGAGATTTCTTATCTTGACAAAGCTCAATCTTCGAACAAAAATAGTCAATTTGTCAAGCTCTCCATTCATTGCATTGACAGCATTACATTTCATTAGTGTGTGTACCATTCCACGAATAAGGAAAAGGTTTGCTTCTTCAGGGAACTCTCTGGTCAAATCGGGAGGTCAACCCCTCATCGAAAACAAAAAATATCATATTCATAATATTGCATTGCATATAGACATCACTTTCATCATTATATATAGGGATAATGACACAAACAGTCTCTGAACTTTGAATCAATGTGCAATTTGGTCCCTGAACTTTTAATTTGTTCAATGTAGTCTCTGAACTTTAACTTAATGTTCAATTTGGTCCCTGAACTTTTAATTTGTTCAATGTGGTCCCTGAACTTTTAATATGTGTTCAATTTAGTCCCTGAACTATATGAAAATGTTCAATATAGTCCATGCACTTGAATTAATGGAAGGACTATATTGAACATTTTCAAATAGTTCAGGGACTAAATTGAACACATATTAAAAGTTTAGGGACCACATTGAACAAATTAAAAGTTCATGGACCAAATTGAACATTAGGTTAAAGTTCATGGACTACATTGAACAAATTAAAAGTTCAGGGACCAAATTGCACATTGAGTCAAAGTTCAGGGACTGTTTGTGTCATTTTCCCTTTTATATATATATTTAGGAGTTTAGACTTTAAAATTTTCATGTATAAGTTAAAGGCTGACTTGTTCGGTCAAACCGAGAGATTCAACCTTTGATCGAGAACATCATCGTTTCATCATCCTATGTTAGTTTTCTCTAATTTCTTCTGTACTTAGCAATTAGGGACATAAGGGCATTACAATTATAGGATCTATAATTTTAGGGTATTGAACCTGACGAGAAAAATTTAAATTGACGAGGGCATTTGAGCCCTTGATTAATCGTTCCCTCTCTCTCTCTCTCATCACCCGATTAATCTCACTCTCCCATGTATAACTCAGCCTTCTACGGCCAGTCACTACTTAGCTCCATTGGACTAAAATTGAACTAGACCTGGAGATAGAAAGAGAGCCCAAAACCGAGTGGAGTCAGCTGTGTTGACCCTGAGCCTCGGCTGCAAAATTGCTGACTTTGCTGCTTATGAACTAAGCTAAATATTGGCATTTCTTGGAGTGGACAAACCAGGAGTGGCAGGCTGAAGTTGAAATAGATAGAGGTGATGGCAGGGATTGTGACAGCTGTTGGGAGTTGTGGGAGAGCAGAGTCACATTCGGCAAAGAGTGAAGGGGAAGGCTAAAATGAGTTGTCCAATCTCTTAAAAGGTAGGAGGAGGAGGAAGCGCAGGAAACAGAAGAAAAAAGAAGGGAGCCGAGACATATCTTGGGATCCCTCGGCGGGAGCATCTCTGATCTGGGCCTCTCCCCCATTTCTCGACTCTCGGTCTACCTCTGGGTCTCTCCTAGCTTCAATTTTGGCTCCAGAACCGAGAGCTCCTGCATAAAAAGGCAAAGGATAAGAAAAATTGAAAGAGGCAGGCTCCCACGTCCAAGAGGACTCAGATTATGCCCTCTCAGGAGCCCACTCTCAAAGGTGGGGATCTTAGAAAAATAGAGCCCACTCAGATACATTAGTATGAGAGAGAGATCCTTGGTATACTCTAAATTTTGAGGCTGTCAAGGAAAGAGATGGATTTACAATTGTTGTCATTGTGATGGCAACACGAGCATGACCGAGCTGACGGAGCTAGAGAGAGAGAGAGAGAGAGAGAGCAATGTCAAGCAGTGATGTCGACCATAGTGGCCGATGGCAATAGGTGGTGGCTACTATTGGTGGTGGACGGTGGCTCTGCATAAGACCTAGAATGAGTGATCTTTTATGTGTTTGCATGTTTAACATCTCGCAATATTTACTTGAAGTGAGTTGCCCATATCTGATGGTTTGAGTCGGACTATCATAATCGGTACATATCCTGCTCCTTGGTGAAGTAATTGCTGATAGTTTCTTGGTGTCTCCTGCTCCTTGGTGGAGTAATTGCTACTAGTTTCTTGGCATCTCCTCGTAGGTTTCTTTGCCAAGTGCGACTTCCTTTTTTATCTTCTCGGTTAATAATTCCACTAAAGATGGAAAGTTTTTCTTGGAAACATCTCCTTCGGCTGTCTTTCCTAACTTGCCATAACCCACGCTTTTGCTTTCCCATGGCGAATCGGTCTCAATTATCACTTTAGGAAATTCTTGAAGGTTTCTTGGTCTCCCAATGAGAACTAAATGGGTTCTGGAGAGAGTTCTTTAAACTGGGCTTTGCTTGGTTGGTTGCCTTCACTGTGCCAACTCTGAAAATGAAGGTCTCCGCACAGGTGGCTTGTCCGTTGGGGTTCTTTCTCTTTGCTTTCGCTGGTGTTAGCCGTGAAGATATAAAAAAGAAATGGACGCTCACGAAAGAGAACACTAGAGGCTCAACATAACAATATAACTGTATTTCCTCACCACAAGGGTGGGTTAACATAAACGAAGCAAGAAAATCCTCACGGTGATTGGAGGATTTGAAGGAGGTTCTCAACGAACAAAACTGATCAACTCGTAATTCTCGTATCACGAGGGAGTTCCCTCTTCTCCGTGGGAGTTCCCTCGGTGAACCACACTCTGTTTTCTGTCTCTCCTCTGCTCTCTTGGGCGCACACTCCACGCACGAGGACTCTTTTTTCTTTCCTTTTACTTTTTGACTTTTGACTTTTCTCTCTTTTTTTTTTTTAGTTTAAGTGTTAGCTGGGCCCCACATAGGCGGACCTAGCCAACACAAACAAACCAAATAAAAGTGTTCCATTGCATTACTTTGATAAATTTTAAGACTTAGCTAGTGTAATTTGCACTTTTTTCATTCAATGGCGCTTGTACCTATACACACTTACATGAAATTTAATTACTTTGAGGGTGACAAACTTTTTAAGGATTATATTAATGAGAGCCCATGTACACTTGTTAAGCAATCAATTAAGAAAACTTTATAGTATTCAATGTATCAATTGCTTTTCTGCTATGCATAATTAGTGCCATGAAAATTAAATTATTCCAGATGAAGTATACTTAGTAAGTGCCTAACATGAGCCAGATTTTACAATGGCTTTTGACCATTTAATAGTTACTCTCAAATGAAGTTCATATGGATCAATGTGGACCATTTAATTGCATTTAAGTACAATGTGGCAATCATTGAATACTTGTCAGAGTATGGATATTGAATTTTAAATGATTTTCAGTGTACCAAATTCAAGTTATTTTTAGTAAACCTAGCAATTTCTTTTTTATTTATAACATGAAGACGCACTTTAGGTAGATTATTAGTCCCGTGACTTGTGCAGGTAATGCTGCTTACTGGAGGTGACACCACGGCCACCACGATAGAATGGACCATGATACTTCTCCTCAACCACTCGGAAGCAATGCGAAGGGCTTGCGACAAGATAGAATCCGAAGTAGGACATGATCACCTCCTCAAAGAATCTAACCTCACTAATCTCAACTACCTTCAAAACGTCTTTAGCGAGACAATGAGGTTGTATCCAATAGCTCCGCTTCTGCTTCCGCACGAATCCTCGGAGGACACGACCATTGGGAACTTCCATGTTCCGCGAGGCATGACGTTGCTGGTAAACGCGTGGAGCCTTCACCGGGACCCCAAGCTATGGGTGGATGCTGAGAGATTCATGCCCGAGAGATTTGACAATGACAAAGAGAGTACCGAAGGGTTTAAAATGATTCCTTCGATGCCGGAAGGCAAGCTTGTCCCGGGGCTGCTCTTGGGAGGAGAGTGGTGGAGTTGGCGTTGGGAGCATTGCTCCAGTGCTTCGAGTGGCAGAGAGTTGGCTCGGAGGAGATCGACATGATGGAGGGCAATGGCCTCACCGCGCCACCGGCGGAGCCTTTGCAGGCTTTGTGCAAGCCACGGGAAATCATGGCGCCCTTCCTAGCCGGTGGAGATGATCGCTTTGGTGAAGAAACAATGAAGAGATGCTAGCTAGGGACACCAAAAACCTAAAAAGTACGCCTTGGGTTAGGAAGCAACATGGAATAATATGGAGTAATCTCACTCAATCTTTCAAGAAGTAAGTTATTTTACACTAGACCTATAAAGTTGGTGCAGTTTATTCAAAATACATCGTTTTATGTTGACCGCTTTCACCTACATTGCACGATGGCATGGTGTGTAATGACATGTTGTGGTGACGATGATGTATCATGTGACAAGAGAATGTATAAATCCTAATTGTGACGTGTATGAATGGAAAATTTGTTGAGATGACATGAGCGACCAGATCACTATTATTAGTCGACTTATTTGGGCATCTCTATTGTCCCAAAGGATGCATATGATCCCTTCATAGCATTCTTTGATAGACGGTTTTGAAAGATTAAACTTTTTCACCAAAATATTTATGATTTTTCCAAAGGAATTTGTTAACAAATGCACCCGTTGCACTTGTTAAGTAATTAATCAACGAAATATTACAGCTTTCAATTAGATGAAATCCATGGGCAAGCTCGAAACGAGCTTATAGATCATATCCAATCTCAACACATTAATTGTCTTAAATATCAAAACTTTTCTCATGTACGTTTTAAAAAGTACCCTGATTATTTGTCAATAAGAACTTTTTTTTTGGGGAAATAGTTCAGAGGTTGACAATCACGAATCATTGGCTCACGCATTGAATCGTGTTTTAAATTACATGAGCCCTATTTTCAACATGATAACACATTACTTTAGACATGAAGAGAGTTTTAGAATTACCTGGATGCCTAAAAAATTTTGCTAGAACATCGTCGGGGGACCTAAAATGGAACCAAGATTGAGTTTATTGGGATTTTGTGGGCACCTTGTGTCGAACAGCAGGGCAGAAGCGCACGGCCCTTACACCTTCAGCACGGACTAACGGTCATGACATTGAACTCGAACACGACATCATGTCGTCACTTCATAAAACAATTTCGTGACATGTTATGATATTTTTTAGGTTAATTACGACGACACGTCGTCTGATTGTATGGCTACAATCGAGATGCGACAGCAGTGTCACATGAAATTGGGAGATTGGTATCCACTTGTTTGGTAAGGATAAGACATGTCAATTTCCATTTGCTTTTTCTTCCCCAACGAAGCACCGCAAAAAGTAAAAGAGCATCATCACCTTCGACCGTACCGTTCCCGTTTTGATTTTTTCGTATGGTGAGTGGCCAGGAGGACACGACGCAAAAGGATTTGCATGTACGGCCCAACAATCTTCACATTTTCGTAAAGATTAATATCACAAAAAATTTTTAATTAATATATTTATGATAATTTTATCTCGAATTAATTTTTTACCATAAAAAATTCCGAATTGATATATTTATGATAAATTTATCCCAAATTATTTTTTTGACCATAAAAAACCCTACACTGATACACTTGTGATAATTTTACCCCAAACTAATTTTTTGATCACCAAAAATCTCAAACTGATACACATATGACAATTTTACTCAAAACTAATTTTTTTACCACAAAAAATCCCAAACTAGTATATTTGTGACAAATTTACCCTCCGTTAATGTCCGTTAAATTAGATTAATATTACGAAAAATTACAAATTAATAAACTTGTGACAAACACAGGGGTAAAACCCCCATCTGGTACACCCGTCAGCTACCACGTGTTATCAAACTTAGCAATTTGACAGTAAAATTTAATGGAAACAAACGGAGGGTAAATTTGTCACAGGTGTACCAGTTTGGGATTTTTTGTGGTAAAAAAATTAGTTTGGGGTAAAATTATCACAGGTGTACCATTTTGGGGTTTTTGTGGTCAAAAAATTAGTTCGAGATAAAAATGTCACATGTGTACCAGTTTGTGATTGTTTATAGTCAAAAAAATAGTTCGGAATAAAATTGTCACAGGTGTGTCAATTTGGGGTTTTTCGTTTTATTAACCCTTTTCATAAAGGAGTGCAGAGATTTGGGAACCGTTCGTATCCATTCATTCCTCGACATAAATAGGACCGATACACACTACTTCTGCATCTGATTGAAAAATTGCATTAGGACTCTTTGCAATATACATTCGAGTTGTAATGTTATTATGAATTTTCTGTATCACTGGATTAAATTTTAAAACTTTTAAAAATTGACATGGTCGAGTATTTAATAAATCGGACTTCTTTATTAGGTGAATGAAAATTTCAGAGTGATTCTACTCAACATCTATTTAAAATAAGTGTAATCTACCTTTTAACTCGATAAATGCATCCAAGGATTATTGCCTTATATGCTATCCGATATATGCATATTTATTATTTTGTACGGTAACTCTCTCATTTTGCTCATTTTACACTTTTAAGTAGAATCGGGGTAATCTAAATTTCCAAGCTTTAGTTAATATAAACCTTCTTGAATTTAGCTATAGTTATAATGATCAAGTCTATTGAAAGTACACAATTTCCCTCAAGATAATCTTTTACATGGAATGGTCACCAACGTATCGTTCCCATAAAAGCTATTAAAGGAAGTGCCGGCTCTAATATAGAACAATGCCAAGAAAAAATTGGCACATGAACTTTCATTCAAAGACCTTTCGCCTCTGGCATTAGTTAATCGAGTCGTGTGGTGTACAAACACATCTAGCGGAGGTCAAATTGCCTTGGGACTAGATGGCAGGTGCATCCAAATATCAATTGATCTTACTAATAAAATGTGGTATCAAATTTTTTAAAGGATTAATACCACAAAAAACTCCAAACTGATACACTTGTGACAATTTTACTCAAGACTAATTTTTTGACTATAAAAAACCTCAAACTGGTACACTTGTGACAAATTTACTCTCAGTTTGTTTTCTTTAAATTTTACCATCAAATTGCTTTGTTAAATGACACGTGACAGTTAACTGATGTACCAGTTTTATATTTTACCCTCCATTTGTCACAGGTGTACCATTTTGTGATTTTTGTGGTATTAATTTAATTTAACGGAAACTATTAGAGGGTAAATTTGTCACAAATATACAAGTTTGGGATTTTTAGTGGTAAAAAAATTAGTTTATAGCAAAATTGTCATAGGTGTACCAGTTTGGGGTTTTTTGTGGTCAAAAAAATAGTTTAGGGTAAAATTGCCACAGGTGCATCAGTTTGGGATTTTTCATGGAATTAACCATTTTTTTACAAAAAAAAGGCTAGTTCACTGATTGATATGTTGTATAATATGACGAATTACGATCGATGGTTTAAATTAGTGGATCATACATAGCATTCGATAAAATTATATCACATTATTTAATATAAAAATATCCTAAAGAGGCCTAATAAAAAATTTCATATAGTGACATCTACTTTTGCTTAACCAAAAAAGAACCAATAATAGCACGCAAATAATAATAATAATAATTATTATTAACAACAATGAGCAAGAAGTAATAAACACAAATCGCCTACCCTCCAACCGGGGATAATGTAAAATAGTGTAAAGTTCGCCTACCCTCCGAACAAGATTAGAGTAAAAAATGACCCTTTATGATACTCGATATGTTTTTTAGATGAGTTTCAATGTTTACTTAATAGATATTATCCGAAAGCAAATACGATAAATCATTTGCAATATTACCCTTCTCCATTGACAAAAATTAGTTTTAATAGAAAATTGTGTAAATCCTAAAATGAAAAATTATTGATAAACCTACATTTTTATTAAAGAGGAAAGGATGCGTACAAAAAACAAGATTTACTTCTATCAATGCACTTTACTCAGAATTTATTCCGAGTCATTTTCCAGTAGCTTATTTTTAGTTGTTCGAGTTGTTTATTTCATTTTGTCTATCAAACACTTGCTCTTCTTCTTTCCGAAAGATTTGTGTTACCATCAACGAATTCATTTTTATTAGTTTTAACACCCAATCATCAAGTTCTTTGTCCCTTTTTTGGTACACAATTCATCAATTGAAAGTACAAGGATTGGCGATGTTTGATTAGGATGCTGATCAATCGAAATGTGATAATTTTTGCTGTCGATTTGACGATTTGAAGCGAGTGATTTTCAAAAAAGTATTTACATTGACTGATATAAATAAAAATTTCTTGTCAAATAATAAGTTATTGTAGTTATAAGTCATGAACGTAGAAATGACAAATAATATAGGTAACAAAAAGTTTTGTATCCCAATTTTGATGTATAATTTTGATATGTGTTAGTCTATATTGAGAAACGGTCTAACGAGTGAAAAATTAGATCCAACCTTACCTTATAAAACCTCTAACCGGTTACATCTCTCTCCCCATTCTCTCTCTCTCTCCCCGCCTCCATCACATGTTCATGGAAGACGTGTGGGTGTACATCATCTCTGCAGCATCCTCCTTCCTCTTCCTTCTCTTCCTGTTCAAATTGCAGAGAAGCAGCAAGCGGAATCTCCTGCCGAGCCCACCTTCGCTCCCCATCATCGGCCACCTCCTCCTTATAAAAGAGCCAGTCCACCAGACCCTCCAGTCTCTCTCTGACCGCTACGGCCCAGTCCTTTTCCTATCCTTCGGCTCTCGCCGCGTGGTCGTGGTATCCTCCCCGTCCGCGGCTGAGGAGTGCTTTACCAGGAATGACGTCGTCCTCGCCAACCGCCCCCGCACGCTCGCTGGCAAGATCTTCACCTACGGCAACACCACCATTGGATCCGCCCCTTACGGTCCCCTCTGGCGCGACCTCCGCCGCCTCACGGCCCTCGAAATCCTTTCCCCGCACCGCCTTGCCGGCTCCCTCACCGTCCGGCTGGAGGAAGTGAGGCTCCTCGTGAAGAACCTCTATGAGGTGGCCACGTTGGCGGCAGTGCGCGGCGGTTGCGCAAGGGTGGAGATGAGGTCGAGGCTGCAGGAGCTATCCTTCAAGAGCATCATGAGGATGATCTCTGGGAAGCACTACTTTGGGGCCGCCATCGAGGCAGGCGATGTCGAGGTGGCCAGGCAGTTCAGGGAAGTGATAAAGGAGATATTCGAGCTAAGTGGGACAGACCCGGGCGATTTCTTGCCGGCACTGAGGAAGGTGGTGGACTTCAAGGGGAGAGAGCGGAGGATGGTCGACGTCGCCAAGAGGTCCGATAGGATCTTGCAGGGCATGATAGACGAGGTCAGGTCGAGAAGGAAGAGAAGTGACCGCGGCAGAGAGATGGAGAGCAAGACGATGATCGATACCATGCTGTCGGATGGCTACCCGGACGACATCATCAAAGGCCAAATCCTGGTATGTGTATAACACGTGTTCTGTTCACTTGACTTATGCATGTTTCTGAGTTTCGTGAGACAAGTCTTTTGGTGCTCACCAAAATAGGAATAACAGTGGTAAGAACATGTCCGCCTTGTTTCTGGAAAGAAGGGAAACGAGAGATGAGGGAGCAAATGGACAAAAATTTGACTGACTTCTTCCCAAACAAAGCTTTTTCTATGACCCTTAGGTTTGAATAGTGGCTTAGAATCTCCTAATACATGTACCAATATGGATCTGGACCGTTAAAAACGATGTCTCTTTCTAGGATATTACCAATCCGACGATTTATATTAATTTTAATTTTTTTTATGGTATATCATATTAAACGTCTTATTTTTCTTTTCTACTACGAGTATAGGGTCTTTTCTTTTAGTCATTATTGCATGATCTCGGTGCATGTAAGCCCAATGTATATATACCGTTGAATCATATGGTCTCATGTGGAGCCCTTTTCATCTATCGATTCATGTGAATTGGGCTTACATCCAAGGACTCTTATATAATTTTCTTGAATAGTGGCTGCTATTTTAGATTGTTGTAGATTAAAACAGAGAAAGAAGAGAGTGGACAAATTGAAATTACACAAGCCGATCAATCTTTTGTCATGTGTGCGGTAAATGATTTAGTTCAAGTTCAATTTTTCTTTATTGAATTTACGCATGTTTTTCAACTCCGATCGATTCGAGTTGAGTACCCGTCGAACCATACTGAAGTATGTCGTCTCGACAAGACAAGCCACCATAAAAAATCACTTCTACATCTACATGATGCATGAAACAGATAAATTTTGCACTTACACATGAACAAGACCATAAGAGCGGCCCATTTTAGATTCCGACTTAAACCGAACCTCTTCCTTTGCATTTTCCTCTTTACGTCTGAACCTAATTATTCTTCAATTTCGAAAACAAGTTTCATCTCTCTTTGAAACCAATAAGCATACTTAGCAAATTACTTAACCCCAATCTGCGGTAGTCGATGTTAGCTGCAGGCACGGACACGTCCTCGGTGACAATAGAATGGGCTATGTCCCTCCTACTCAACCATCCGGACGTTTTGAAAAAAGCTCAAGTAGAACTAGACCAGGTCGTTGGTCGAGACCGTCTAGTTGACGAAGCAGATATCCACAAGCTGCCTTGCCTTCAAAACATCATCAATGAATCGCTCCGGTTGTTTCCGCCAGCGCCACTCCTAGTGCCTCATGAGTCCTCCGAGGATTGCATGATCGGCGGGTTTGACGTGCCCCGAAGCACCATGATCCTAGTAAATGCATGGGCAATTCAGAGAGACCCAAAAGTGTGGGACGATCCAACAAGTTTTAAACCAGAAAGATACGAGGGATTGGAAGGGGATCATGCGTACCGGTTGTTGCCGTTTGGCATGGGGAGGAGGAGTTGTCCCGGTGCTGGCCTTGCCAATAGAGTGGTGGGTTTGGCTCTAGCGGCGCTTATTCAATGCTTCGAGTGGGAACGAGTCGGCGAAGAGCCGGTGGACTTGTCGGAAGGAACGGGACTCACAATGCCCAAGAGACAGCCATTGGAGGCTATGTGCAAAGCGCGTGAATGCAAGATTGCAAATGTTCTTGCACAGCTTTGAGAAGGTCGTTCTCCAGTGAATTATTTTGGTCATGTTCAACCGTGGCAATGCTTATGAACTAATGTGTAATAACAAAGTAAGTTGGTATGAATGAAATGAGGTGGAAATGAATGGAGGGGAAAGAAAACTCAAACTAGAATGGATGGAATAAGAATTCTAGTTCTCGTGTCTAATAATAATGTATTCAAGGAAAAGAAAAGAAGATCGGATGTGTAATGTATTAATGAAATGGCCATTCATATGGACTTTCTTTAGGTATTTGGATGGTCTAAGAATACTTTCGACGATTATTATTGTAAGATGATATGTATGTTTGAAGAAAGGGCCTACCATTAACTAAAGTTGCAATATGATTTTCATATCATCGGTATACTCTAGATTTCGAAGTTTGATTGGCATCTCCTCTGGACATCATATCAGTCCCTAGACAGATCCAATGTCATGGGATTAGAGGTTATTGTGTAAGTACAAAGATTTGGTAGTTGCAAAGAAAACACATTGGTATGAGAGAGAAAGAGAGAGAGCTCCTTGGTATACTCTAAATTTCGAGGCCGTCAAGGAAAGAGATGGATTTACTATTGTTGTTGTTGTGATGGCAACACGAGCATCACAGACATGACGAAGCTAGAGAGAGCAGCCGGGGGGGGGTGGGGGAAGCAATGCTGGGCAGCGATGTCGACCGTAGTGGCCAATGGCAACAGGTGGCGGCTACTAGTGGCGTTGGATGGTGGTTCTGCATAGGACCAAGAATGGGTGATCTTTTTTATGTGTTTGCATGGTTAACGTCTCGCAATATTTACTTGAAGTGAGTTGCTCATACCTGATAGTTCGAGTCCGACTCTTATAATCAGTACATATCCTGCTCCTTGGTGGAATAAGTGCTGCTAGCTTCTTGGTGTCTCCTCGTAGGTTTCTTTGCTAGGTATGACTTCCTTTTTTTATCTTTTCTGTTAACAATTCCACTTAAGATGGAAAGCTTTTCTTGGAAACTATCTCCTTTAGCTCCTTCTTTCCTAACTTGCCATAACCCCGCTTTCGCTTTCACATGGTGGATCAGTCTCAATGATCACTTTACGAAATTCTTGGTCTCTCAATGGGAACTTAGTTGCTTTCTTGAGGAACTTCTTTAAACTGGGCTTTGCTTGGTTGGTTGCCTTCACTGTGCCAGCTCTGAAAATGAAGGTCTCCGCACAAAGTGGCTTGTCCGTTGGGGGTTATTTCTCTCTGCTTTCACTGGGGTTAGCCGTGTAGATACAGAAAAGAAAGGGTCGATCACGAAAGAGAACACTAGAGAAATATCCAATAATATCTTTTCGTCATTTAAGACAAACAAACAATTCAAATAAAAGTGTTCCATTGCATTACTTTTATAAGTTTTAAGACTTAGGTTCGTGTAATTTGCACTTTTTTCATTCAATTGCGCTTGTACCTATACACACTTATATGAAATAAACGTGTTCCATTGCATTACTTTTATATGTTTTAAGGATTATATTAATGAGGGCCTCAGGCACACTTATTAAACAATCAATTAAGAAAACTTTATAGTATTCAATGTATCGATTGCCTTTCTGTTATGCATAATCAGTGCCTTGAAAATTAAATTATTCCAAATAAAGTATACTTACTGAGTGCCTAACATTATCCATATTTTAAAATGGATCTTGACCATTTGAATACTAACTCTCAAATGAAGTTCATGTGGATCAATGTGACCATTTAAATGCATTCCAGTACAATGTGGCAGTCATTGAGTACTTGTCAGAGTAGGGATATTGAATATTTAATGATTTTCAGTTTACCGGATTAAAGTTATTTTTAGTAAACCTATCAGTTCTTTTTTTATTTATAACATGAATGCCCACTTTAGGAAGATTATTAGTTCTGTGACTTGTGGAGGTAATGCTGCTTGCTGGAGGCGACACCACGGCCACCATGATAGAATGGGCGGCAATACTTCTCCTTAACCACTCGGAAGCAATGCCAAGGGCTTGCGATGAGATAGAATCCAAGGTAGGACATGATTGCCTCGTCGAAGAATCTAACCCCGATAATCTCAACTACCTTCAAAGCGTCATTAGCGAGACAATGAGGTTGTATACAGCAGGTCCGCTTCTGCTTCCGTACGAATCCTCAGAGGACACGACCATCGGGAACTTCCACGTTCCGTGAGGCATGACGCTGCTGGTGAACGCATGGAGCCTTCACTGGGACCCCAAACTATGGGTGGATGCCGAGAGGTTCGTGCCCGAGAGATTTGACAGCGGTGAAGAGAGCAACAAAGGGTTTAAAATGATTCCTTTCAGTGCCGAAAGGCGAGCTTGTCCCGGGGCTGTTCTTGGGAGGAGAGTGGTGGGGTTGGCGTTAGGAGCATTGCTTCAGTGCTTCGAGTGGGGGAGAGTTGGCTCGGAGGAGATTGACATGACGGAGGGCAACAGCCTCACCGTGCCACCGGCGGAGCCTTTGCAGGCTTTGTGCAAGCCACGGGAAATGATGACGCCCTTCCTAGTTGGTGGAGATGATCGCTTTGGTGAAGAAACAATGAAGAAATGCTAGCTAGAGACACCAAACACCTTAACAGTACACGTTGGGTTAGGAAGCGACATGAATAATCGAACTATGACTTCATTAGGGACTGCTATGTCGAAATTCTGTGGTACATGTGAGGAACAGTTAGCATCTCTGCATGATCTTTTCCGCACCACATATTTCAATTCAGTTTCAACTTGCATTTATCAACTGATTTTCTAAAATATGAGATGCAACTGTAATTTTCGGTGACATAATCAAGCGAAAGGTTCTCATCAAGTCGTGCCACGGTTTAGTTGTGTGTTTCGTGTATGTTTTGAAAACATGGATGTAAGTTGAAAGTATGACATGTCATATGACGCCCACGTCGCGCGATGGCGTGGCACGTACTGCTCCGATCTCCTCATGCTTGTACCACTCCCTCCTCATTCTCAAAAGCTCAAGAACGAGTTCGCCATGGACTGTGACATTGAAGCCGCGCTCGACGACGGATTTGACGCCGACCCATTTCCTCCGAAAAGCTAGTCCAACGGCCGTTGGATTTCCAGGGACCAAACCGATGGGGTTGTGATTTTGTTGCTGCAGGCCTCGCCAGGGGTGGGAGAGGCTCGCCCTCGCCGGCCAAAGGATAAAGATGAAGGAAAGAAAAAAAAAAGAAAGAGAAATAAAAAAGGAAAAAAGAAAAGAAAAAAATTAATAAAAAAATCAAAATATTATTGAAATATGTCCACGTTAGCATTGGCTAGTCAAAATTGACTGGATGGACTGAATTGGAACAAATGCAAAAGGTTTATGACTCGATTGGTAAAAAAAAGTTTAGTACCGAATTGACATAATTGTAATAGATTTAAGACTGTTTTGGTAATTTTCCCAATTAACAAAATATTACAGCTTTCGGTGAAATCAAAGGGCAAGCTCAAAATGGACTTATAAATCAGATTCATTCTCAATGCTTTAATTGTCTTAGATATCAAAACTTTTCTCATATATGTTTTAAAAAGTCCCCAATTATTTGTTAATAAGAACTATTTTTGGGTAAAAAGTTTCGGAATTGAATTAACATAATTACAATAGATTTATGCCTTTTTGCAAAAGATATTGAGTTTGGGATTTCGTGGGCACCTCAGGTCGAACGGTAGGGCATGAGCGCCCGGGCCTTATACCTTTGGCATGGACTAACGGGTTATGACATTGAATTTGAGCACGACATCATGTCGTCACACCATAAAATATTTTCATGACATGTTACGATATTGTCGAGCTTAATTACGACGGCACGTCGTGTGATTGTACGGCTACAATCCAGATACGATAGACGTGTCCTGTGAAATTGGTATCCGCTTGTTTGGTAAGGATAAGACATCAATTTCCATTTGCTTTTTCTTCCTCAATGAAGGGCCACAAAAAGTAAGAGAGCATCATCACCTTCGATCGTGCCGTTCCATTTTTGTTGTTTTTGGTACGATGAGTGGCCAGGAGGAAACAACGCAAAAAGATTTGCGTATTCGGCCCATCATCAATCTTCCCGTTTTCACAAAGGAGTGCAGAAATTTGGGAACCGTTCACATCCATTCGTTCCTTGAAATAAATAGGACTGATACTAATTTTGCATCTGATTGAGAAAAATGCATTGGCGATACCTAATATGGGCCATGACTCGTACGAAACGGCCGGTGTTGTTCCATACATTTATATCCCTTACTAACCCGATTGAGCCTATAGTTTTGTTTTGTATGAACTTAGTTGGTGATCATCCTCAAAAGAAAAATCACCCCAATTCAAGCAACATGATTTGGAGAGCGGGGAGGTTGCGACATGCATTAGGACTCTTTGCAATTTATATTCGAGTTGTAATGATATTATATATTTCTTTATCATGCGATTAAACCTTAAAACTTTTAAAATTGACGCGTTCGAGTATTGAATAAATTGGACTTCTTTATTAGGTGAATGAAAATTTTAGAGTGATTTTACTCGCTATCTGTTTAAAATAAGCGTAATCCGCCTTTTGACTTGATGAAAGCACGCAAAAAGAAGAAGAAGGATTATTGCCTTATATGCTAACCCATAAATGCATATTTTGTACAGTAACTCTCTCATTTTGCTCATTTTACACTTTTAAGTAGCATCGGGGTAATCTAAATTTTCAAACTTTAGTTAATGTAAACCAACTTAAATGTAGCTATAGTTATAACGATCAAGTCTATTGAAAGTACACAATTTCCCTCGAGATAACCCTTTACGTGAAATGGTCACCAACGTATTGTGTCCGTAAAAGCTATTAAAGGAAGTGCCGACTCTAATATAGAACAATGTTAAAAGAAAAAGTCGGCATTTCCAAGACCTTTTGCTAATTTAAGTCGTTTGATGTACAAACACATCTAGCGGAGGGCAAATTGCCTTGGACCAGATGGCAGGTGCATACACCAATCCAAATATCGATTGATCTTACTCATAAAATGCGGTATCATATTTAAAAAAAAAGGCCAGTTTACCGATTGATATATCGTATAATACGACGAATTGCAATCAGCAGTTTAAACTAGTGGCTTGTAACCGACATCCGATAAAATTATATCATACCATTTTCTATATAAATATCCTAAAGAGGGCTAGTAAAAATTTTCTTATAGTGCCATCTACTTTTGCTTACCCAAAAAGGAACCAATAATAACACACGGATGGATAACACACAAATAATAATAATAATAATAATAATAATAATAATAATAATAATAATAATAATAAACACAAATCGCATTTAGACTCAGAGTTAGGGCCGGATTTATTCTTTTGTTGGGTAATGTTCTGGACCACGTCCTATATGTTTGGATTTCGGCCAAACCCTAAAGCCTCCGTCAGGTCGCCAAATTGATAGGTTATCAATAAACCTTCAAAAGGATTTTGAGTTTTGAGGTACAAAACGATTTTGTTTACTCACAAAGAGCCGTGTTTTTTTTACTTTTTAATTTCTCTATTTTCGATTGAATAATACTTCTTTTGCTTAGATATCTATTTTTCGTTTGGTCAAAAGAAATTTCCATTCATTACCAAAATGATAGATTGAGAGATTCATAGGAAATATCAAAAGTCACAATACCAAGGCAAGCTTGTAAAGCTCTAAAACAAACTAAAAATCGGAAATCAAGGTAGATCATCATGGCATAATTGGCAGAGATAATCACACGCTCGTCATTCAAGAACGCATATGTGACTGCAACCAAGGGAAAAGATTGGGGACCGATCACCGAATCACACATCATCAATGAAAACTACTCCAACCAGATATCTTTTGCGAGTTACAGATATAGACATAAGTCACAATTATTTCGGTCAGTTTTTAAATTTTAAATGGATTTTGAGTTAACATAGTAGTTTCGGCATTTTCATTTACTAAAGAGGGGCATTTTCCATCATCCTTGATCCGTGAAAACTGCAACGCCTTCGCCCCTCACCTGATTTGGTGAGGGCTCGCGAGTCCTCGCTGTGGCCGGCGAGGGCGTCGCAAGCCGTCGCCTGCCTCGCTGTGGCCGGCGACGGCCTAGGCGAAGGCCGTGACGCCCTTGCCTTGCTAGATATGGTGAAGGTATCGTGGCCCTCGTCGGATTTGGCGAAGGCTCGCGAGCCCTCGCTGTGGCCGGTGAGGGCGTCGAGAGCCCTCGCCCAGGCCCTCGCCGGCAACAGCGAAGGCGGGCGAGGGTTTCGCAGCCCTCGCCCCCGAGCCGGTGAGCTCAACGAAGAAGAAGAAAGGAAAAAATGGGGAAGAATACTAGAAGTGCCAAAACTTGTATACGGCGCTCACTTTAGTGCAAAAAGCTTTTTTAGGATCACTTAAGTGCCACTTTTTAAAAAAAACGATCACTTAAATGCCAATTCCGATTTGGGTCGCCGGAAATCTGACGTGGCCATATTTTATTAATTTCTCAGTCCTACGTGGCACGTCAGCGCTGACGGGGACAATATTTAATAATATTTTAATATTTTTTTCGATTTTTAAAATATTTCTTGTGATTTTTTTCTTTTTTTTCCTTCTTTTCATTTTTTCTTTTCTTTATTCTTCTTCTTCAACCTTTGGCCGGTGACTGAACACCAGCCACCGACCATGGCCGGCCGCCTGTCCTCGCCTGGATGAGGCCACTATCGCCCGCCATAGGTGAGGCTCGGCCAACCCTTGCCTAGGCAAGGGCAGGCGAGCCCCGACGAGATGAGGCCGACCCTCACCAGATCCGACGAGGCCGGCCCTCTCCCAGGCCACGGTGGCCTCGCCGAGCGTCACCTGAGGGAAGGTGATGCCTGGTGAGGCCGCCGTGGCTTGGGTGAGGGCCGGCCTCACCGGATCTAGGCTCCCCTTGCCCAGGCGAAGCGAGGCCGACCCTCGCTGGGGCTCGCCTGCCCTCGCCCAGGCCAGGGTCGACCAAGCCTTGCCTGTGGCGGGCAACGGCGGTCTCGTGCAAGCGAGGCCAGGCAGCCGGCCATGGCCGGTGGCCGGTGTCTGGTCACAGACGAAAGGTTGAAGAAGAAGAAGAAAGAAAAGAAGAAAAGGAAAAAAGAAAAAAATCACAAGAAATATTTAAAAAATCGAAATATACACATGAAAATGCCACGTAGACTGATTTTTTTTTTTAAAAAAAAAATCCAACTCAGATTAAAATTTTAATTATAAAAGCCACGTATTAATTTGGTCAGAATTTCTCGCTGTTGGCACTTAAGTGATTGTTTTTCCTCCGATTTTGGCATTTAAGTGAGCTGGCGAAAAATTTTGGCACTAAAGTGAGTGTCATACACAAGTTTTGGCACTTCTACTATTCTTCCCCCATGAAAAAAAGAAAAGAAAAGAAAAGAAAAATAGTAAAATAATGAATAAAAATCAATAAAATTTTGCTTTTTTTTTTAAATAGAAAATTATCCGCGTCATCGCCACGTAGGACGGCCGGCGCCGACTGGATCGTCACGTCATTGATTTCCGGCCAAAATTAGCTAGAATGATTAAATTAGCAATTCGTTAAAAGGTTTAGGACTAAATTGGC